CATAGATTTGTCTAACATCACCATGTCAGTATAAATAATGACCAATTAATAGAACTATAATAATCCTACATAGCTTGGAGTATTCTTGATTAGACTACTGGCAGAGGACTACTAGGATTTACAGAAAGATTGCTTTTTTGTTTTCTTTTCCGTTTATAATTTTTTTGTATATTATTTAAAATCTGCTTGCTACAACTTCTTTTTCAAGCTTGTTAGAGGCAGATGTTTCTCAGATCAAGTTTGGTCCTCTTCCTTATGAAGAAACAACAGAACTCATGTCTGCTAAAGTGAATTTGAGGTTCAGACTTTTGATTCAAAAGCTACAGAGCAGAAATTCAGGTATATATGCACCATAGCCTGTATGAGAAATTGCCATACCACCTTGTCTAAGGGCTCATTATTTCCAGTAGCATATATCTCTTCCTGAAAAAAAAGAAAAGATTTGGAGTATAGGTTTGATATTCATTATCAGTTCTTCCAGAGTCTGATTTTTTTTTAATTTTGCAAATGAAGTTCATCAAGAATGGTTTCTGTTTTTCCATGATTGCTTGAAATCTTGTCAAATATGTTTCCCTTTCCCTGTCACTCTCATAATGCTTGGAAAATGCTACAACTGGATCATTGCTGCATTTAAAACATCCTCACACTAATTGCAAGAAAGAGAAAAATCTTTAAAATATTCCATGTGTTTTCAAGATTATTTTCCCTTCCACTCCCGGAATGCCCCATGAGAGATGGGCTCAACATAAAGCAGAGGTAAAAATATTTACTTGTTTAACTGTTCTTTTCATACTATTTATTTTAAGCATGATATAATTCTATAATTCTTGTAGGTTTTAATAATTAGTTTGACAATAACTACAGTATCACAGTAATATTTGTACTTTAAAATTACTGATTTATACAATTTTAACTTCACTTTTAACTTAGCTTATTTCCCAACTCACCAAAAATAAAGTAATAATGCTTGCTATTGCAAAGGAAATTCCATTTTTTAAGCACTGAAGCACTTAGAATTCCTCCAGTGCACAGACCTAAGTGATGCCAAGTTCACTTATGGTATAGTCCTTAAGGACACTTCTAATACCAGGGATGAGGATGTATTTACAGAGCAAACAGTAGCCATATGAAAAATGTAAGCATTTCAGGTTGGTAGAAAAGGCATGAAAGACAGTGCGAGTCTGAAAAATCAGACACACAGCACTGAAGGCAATAGATCAGATGTCATTTTTTGGCCAAAATGTCTCTCAAAGTGATGCTATTATTAGGAATGAGTTTGTAGAAACTTGTCAGTGAAGGAGATTGACTTGGCTAAGAACTTGACAGTCCCCATTAATCGTCTTGAGCCAAGTATTAGTTTGGTCTGGCCTAAACATTAATAACCCCTTTACTGTGCACTGCAGCACAGGAAAATTTACAACATTGTTCCTGATGTCTTCAAGCCAAAAAAAAAAACAAAAAACCCTACAAAAAAACCCCGCAAAACAAAACAAAATCTTGTTTTCCTTAACACGAGGGAATTGGAATGAAACTAAAATATGTGACGTGGAAGGCTATGTCATCTGTGTATCCTGTCACTGAGGCAGAAGGTCAAGATGCTATCTAACTGACAGTGACTCTGCATTTGAGTTTATTGCAAGCCAAACAGGAACAATTTCATATATATATGAATTATATATATGATATATATTATTATGAATATATTTTTATATATGATTATATTATATTCTTCATATATATTTGTATGTGTTTGTATGCTGATGTGTACACATGGATATAATGAACAGCACAAACTGTAAAGACATAGAGATATCATCTAACTTTCTTACTGTAACAATGGTGCAGAGGCACTGTTCCATAAAAAAATCACCTACCTTGGGAAAAAGACAAACCATTAAGTGAGAAAGTCCAGGGACATGGCTTACAAGGTTATGCATATTTAAAACTACTGTGATTACAAAAAAAAATTTAAATTGTAGTCCCAAGCATGTCTTTTTACACCGGTGTTAGTGTGCACTCCCTTTGCCTAGAGCTGGAGAGGTCTCGCTCTCTGAGGAAGGAATGTGAAGCAGGCAGGAAAAGGAGATCCATGTGTCAGGGCCATTGCTGTCAAATGGCCTCCTCACACACTGCAGATGTTCAAGCATAAGCCAGGGAGTGTATGGAATAAAAAGCAGTTTATGGAACTTTAGGAGGGGGTAAATTCTGCAGAAAGCTTGCAGCATTCTTCTACACCACAAGAGAATTTCACCATCAGGGAATGGGTTCTGTATAGGACTCTCTGTATGGGCTGATCTTAGAGGTACTATTGGTATATCAACATTAATTTTACACTATACCAATACTTTCCTTTAGGAAGTTAGCTCTAGTACTTGCAAGAAGTTCTAGCACAATTTGGCCATATGCATGATTTACATGAACCAATTCTGTAGAATATATATCAGAGTTTTCTCTTCCTTTAGAAATCAATTTTTATTGACAACAAAGTCAATTCTGAGAATAAAAGTTAAAAAATGGGTAAATCTTCTAGCTGTGCCAAAAAGGGATTTTTGATAATGATGGGTCTTGCATCACAGTCATAAAAATGATGACTTTATCTCATGAGACCAAATAATATAGTTGTGGGATTATTAGTTAAATTAAAATGTTTCAATGCCTCAGAAAGGAACCACGGAAATTTAAGTTGCAACCATATAATATTCCAGATATTGTATGATGAATTTGTGGGTTTTTTGATTTGAGAGGTACTACTGTTTTCCCCCAGGAAAAAAGTGAATTTGTGGAAAATGGCCTGATAGAATAGTAGAAGTAATTGATGGAGTTCTGTGCAGTTCTGCAGGTGAGGTGACAGATCTGAAAAGCCTCTGACTTATTAGTTTGCCTGTTTAAGGTATGACTATAGTCAAAGTAAGTTAAAAAAAAAAAACATAAACCAGAAAATTCTAGGGAGAAAAGAAGAACAATTCTTAACCCAATTTCCCTGTCAAGACCATTTAAAAATCATGGTTAAGATAACTCATAAATGAACATAATTGTCACTGCTAATATTTTCCTAAAATTAGGGCTTATATTCTGAATCACTTTATATATATCTTAAAAATATTTAAAATATATTAAAGTAATCTTTAGCTATATAGTTATACATTAGGTAATTATATGTTAACCTGTTAGACTTGTACATGATACAAGATATGCAAGTGCAGAAATCTCTGCAGATTCAAAAGGCTCCCATAATAAATATTTCTTCTTATTTACACTTTAAGATAAGAATTGTTACTGCTGCCATACACACATCATAGGCTGCCTAGGGCTACAGAGTGGAAATTTAAATTGAGAGATAATAATAATAATTTGGAAAACATTAGGGTTTTTAAATACCTATTCCTTCAGTGTTGTATGAATTTATAATCTGGTCAGTGTAGTTCATCTAAGCTTACAGCTAAGCTTGTCAAACTGATGCACATTTTTTAAAGGAATGTTGAAGCTTTTTCTAAAAGCATTTATATACTTGGAAAAGGAATGATTAAAGATGGCATCAGAGGGGCATTGTTTGTCTTTTATATTTCCTGACATTCCTTCCTAATAGTGTTTTTAGGAGATGAATGCTGGCTGGCTTTTTTTGGCCACACAATGTAGTTTTAGCACAAGATAAAAACACTTAAAAGGCACAGTCTAAGTCATGGAAACAGTCAATTGTTACAGTGTCTATATGGAGAGAGCTTATTCAATATAAATATATAAATGAATGAAGTTTTATGAATTGGACAACAAACTGTTACTGATAAACAAAGAAAAGATCCACTATAAAATACTATACATTTTACTAAATGTTTGTGTCTCCTTGTTAGGCCCGAAAGACCTGCAGAATCTTTAATGACAAAGCTCTTTACCTCTGAGCCAAGTAATACAAATCTTCACGAGTTATGGAGTTGCATATTTCTAGGAAATATTTGCAAAGAAAACCATGTTCTTCTTAATTTTCATAAAGCATTCTGTTCTTGGAACGCAGGTAAAACAGATCACCAGTTCTGCTTTTTTTTTCCCCAATAAACTATGTTTATTATGCCAATTCTAATTACCATGCAATCTAATGGCTTTAAGGCTTATAATTTCCACATCACTGGACATCACAAACATGAAAGCATTTTTACTGTCATTATACACCAATGTTTGCAGTTGGTTATACATATATACAGAAATTATTCACACATCTTAACCTTGCTATTTCCTCCTTTCAAGCCAACATAATTTTACTGTGAAAGCAGCTTTTTAATAAATGGTATAAGAAATACAGCAAGGCACACATTTTTTAAAAACTTTTTTCTCAATACCACCTCAAGAAGCATAAAACCCCAAAATATTGTACTTGATTCAGTAGAATGTCAACAGTTTCTAATATACAACACCATGTAGTTGTTTCTTGAAGTGTTGCATAGATTAAATTTTTAAATTAAATAAATAAAATGCCATTTATTTTAATTGCTTAATTCCTATTCAATCAGGAGGAGTAATGACTTTTTGCTGCAATCCAACAAAACTGTCACTTAAGAAGTAAAATAGTTTCAATAAACTTATGCATTATACAGATAAATATTAAATTTGATACATAAAATAGAAGACCACTGACAGGTACAATTCTGAAAAGATGAACCAGACTGATCATGAATTCTGCAGAACTTCAAAGAACAGAATCAGTGATAAGTAGTACAGGAGCATCCAATTTAGGAAGGGGAGGTTATTAGAGGTAGCTTGGGAGAGAAATCCATATGAAAGCAAATGGCCTTGCTACAACGCAAAATGATCACTGACATTGGACTAGCATATGCAGCCTGATCACAAAGCCAACATGGACAAATCACATTTGGAAAGCAAATTTATCTTGGGAGTCAGTCTAATGAAAGGCAGTGATACAATGGAATTGAAGGTCATCCCAGGGTTTACAGGATGAACCTGCACCTGAATTGCAGCCCAGTTTCTAAAAGGAAACAAAAAAGTAATAGTAGGTTACAGAAAATGAAGTTTTATTTGCAAAACATAGGTCTTCCAGAACAATCATAGATAATCATTAAATGGTCATATGCCAGAGCCTTTAATGCAGAAGCATACAGTAGGCAAACAATGACTTTTAACAGCCTGAGGTACAAGTTGGTGTAAAAAATGAACTGATGTAGAAAACTCATTGATTTTCATAAAGACTTTGTTTCTAAAGAAACAAGGGTATTCATCACATTTGACTTTTTCCCTGGATTCTGTTCTCATCCTTACCTGTGAACTTACCTTCAGCACACTCAGAAGTGCACCAATCAATGAAAACACAGAAATTTTCAAAAGTTAAGCAACAAAAAGATCTACCCATCAATTATTTTAATATTTGTGCAAACATATATATTAAAATTTCAATGAAGAGGAAAGGATTGTCATATAAGTACCCGTGAATAGAACTGTCAGTGTCATCACTGCATTTTTAAATTGTAAATAACTATTTAGACACTTCTAGTACCAGTGATGAGTCAAATTTGCATACTATAGAATTATCCAGCTCAGAATATAGGGTTAAACTATTCAGCAAAGAGCACAGGCTTATGATGAGGATTATGAAGAAATAACTGTCAGAATACAGCTCAAAGATTAGTGCAAAGCACATCTCACAGGCATTTCCTAGGAGGCACTCCAGACATGCATTATGTGCCTTCCAAGTTAAGCAGGAATATCTGGATCTATCCAGTGACCTTCTTCTTTGATCTTCTTTGCTGCAACTGACCACCACCCTCCCCATTTAGATGAGAAACACACTTACTTGAAAATAGTAAAAGCTCAACAGTTTGTTTAGATATTAATGAAGAACTGATCTGAATAAAGAGGAAGATTGTATCAAAAGGTATCTACAACTCTGGCATGAGTTGCACATATCTAGACTAAGAAAAGTCTCACTGATGGATTATGACAAGTTTTTCAAAAATTTTGTAATTCACAGACAATACAAGACTATCTGGGTTTTTTTTAGATTTTTTTAAAGTCAGCTACTGTAAGGAGCTAAAAAAGTCAGACTGTTTTAAACTCTATAAAGAAACTTCATAGTATTTACTTTCCTATAAAAACTTCCAAGAAAAAAAGGATAAGCAAAGATTTAGATTATTCTGGTAGTTCCAGTCTCTAAAAGTAAATTATTACATATTAACTATTGTGTAAACTTGCATATTATTTTTCTCCTTCAGTAAATAATTAACAGTCTTTTGCATTTATGTACCATCTTTTATCTGTGGATCTCAAAATATTTTTAAGTAAATAAATCATGCTTCATAGGTCCCATGGATCATTATTCTTATTCTTTTCTTGCTAAAGAAACTCAGACAATGAAGGAATAAGTCATAAAAAAAATAATCTATTGCTGAGCAGGAAATAACAGTCAAGCTTTCTGAGCACCAGTCCTAGGTTTCTCCTGGTAATGGTAAGTGGCAGGATATTCTAACTAACATTGCAGCACTGTCAGATAAAATCAATTTAGTTTTCTTAGTCCAAGTATATGATATTTTCCCTAAATTAAGTTAAATTACAGAAGGAAGGAAATAGCTTTTGGACTTACTTGTAAGAACTAACAGATTACATACAGAATTCTAAGGTGTCCTATAGAAAAGACTTTGGACAGAACACATAAACCTCCTTAATGTATTGATATCTATGAATATTGAATATGTAACTAAAAATTCCCATCCCATTGGTGAGTCATAGGTCACAGTGACAGCAGAAGATCACCTGATTTCACGTACAGAAAGATAGTTCTTTCAAGGTGACCCCTCACTGAGAAATAAAATCAGCATAGCTTTATGAGCACCTCTGTTGAAGATCTCCGTGTTGGCTCATCTGAGAGACTAGTCAGTGCTGACAGAGATATTTTTGAGCCTGCCTATATAATTATTATAATTTTCCCACAATGGTCTTTTTTTAATTTATTTTTTTTGTAGCACACTACTAAATAACAGCATTGCAATATTTGGCAAAAATATTTATTCACTACTAGTTTTATTTTCCTGTACAGCCAAAGTAAATACTGAAACAGTACAAAATCAACCTACATTTGAAATCATGCCTTTTTCAACTTTGAATTCTCGGTATGCTTTTAAGGTACACATATACTATAGATTATTTTTCCCTAAGTATTGCAGCTACACATGGAATTACACATTTAAATGAGCTTACAGCACAGGTGCTACAGGGAAAATAATGGTGTTTGCCATTTATCTTTCAAATTAAATAATGTGTTTTTAAATAGTAACTTTTTTCATAATACACTTATGGGAACAACATTTATCTGTCACATTTTAAAAGATGTATTAGTAATAAATGTAAATTACCTTTGGAAAATCAGTAATTAGCCTCATCAAAAAATAAACAATCTGCCACCAAAAAGATAATCTTTAGCATAGTTAAGTATAATAACTGTTATTTGAATAAGTTAACAAATTAGGATAGATTGCTTCTGTAATTCATTCCCCATAGCATGAGAGATGAAGTTAAAACATCAAGCTTGTGAATGGGGGAAGGGAGCTCAGACTTTAGTGAAACCAAACCTAGCAGCTCATATTTTCATTTTTTGTGTGCCTGAGATAAACTATATGTATTCCAAACTTCACTATTGGGAATAATACAGTACAGAATTTCCATGGAAGCAATGCTATATGTACCAGTTAAGAAACCAGTGTATCTTCCTAAATATAAAAAGTGGGATGTAGTGTGGAGGGCTTTGTTAGCTTCAAATTATTTGTCAACTGCTGGGCAAAAATTGGAAACTATAACCTAACCATATTAAATTGTTGCATACAAATTCTGCATTACATTTTATTGCATTGTGGAGCATTTATTAATAACTCTATCCTCTATGTCCTCACACCAACTGCATATTGTCATATCCCAGTCTTATGAAAAAAACAGCTGGCTACCATGCATGTAACTATGAAGTTCTAATGAGTGAGGAAAGGTTTATACAGTATTTTGAGATCCTCAGAGGTAAAGTACTAATGAATTGAAAAGATGTTATTATCTTCACCAGTGAAAGAATGAGAACAAGAATAAAATCACACTCACTATAGCAAGTATTCTTCCTCAAATCAATATTATAAAAATTAGTGAAAAAAATAAGAAAACTAATAAACCAGTAATTTAGGAAAGCTTATGTTTACATAATTATCACTTATCAACCTCAGACTTTTGTCAGCATCTCAATTTCCAAATAGAAGCTTCTATATACATATAATCCATTTAATGTGATTCTAGAACACATTGTATCATCTATGAGTTTTGTAATTCCTAGTTGATTTCCAGTGCTTCTCCAGTTGTTTGGATGTGTCCAAGTATTAACCTAATTGACAATCAGCAGGTCATGGTAGCCTATTTCAAGGCCATTCCAGAAATATCCTCTTCGCTATGATGGTTCCAAGACAATGCATTAGTCAAATAGATACGTGTTGAGTTAGTGGAAAGCTGTAGACTATTGCTGTCATAACCTAAAGGCTTTGCTAGATATATTTTTACATATGTGAATGTGAATGCTGGGTAAACCGCCAATATATGTAAATGAAAAGCCCAAAGCATAGTAATATACCATAGCAAAATCAGGAGATGCGGGAGTTAGATATCTAAGAGCAGAAAAACAATCTATTTTGTATAAACAGGACGAGATACTCTGCTACAGCTATGTAGTTGCAATACGAGAGCACTAGTGGTTTCAGTGGGCAGTGATGAATAACAGCCTTTTCTCCTAGCAACGTCAAGGAATCATAGCATAACTTAGGTTGGAAGGAAACTTGAACATCAACTGGTCCAACCTCTTGCTCAAAGAAGGGCTATTTTCAAAGGTAGACAAGATTATTCAGGGCCATGTCCACCTGAATTTTGAAAATCTCCATGGATGGAGATTCCAGAATTTCCCAGGGAAACTTGGTCCCATGCTTAGCCTTGCTACAGCTTCTGGCAAGCAGCGGCATTTGGAATTGGATTGGTATTTGGAGTTGCCATGCTGGCTGTGGTCTACTAGAAGAGTGTTTCCAAAGACTAATGGCATTCCATGTAGCTATGCTGGCTTTTGGCACGGAACCACTAGTGAGATTCAAAGCAGCAGTGCTACATATTAGGAACTGATTCAAAAGTTGCTTTGTAGATCTTCTTCTGTTGTTAAATGTGCAGTAATAGTTGAGCATTTATGTGAGGTCAGAAACTCCAGATCTGAACCACTTTCAAATTTTGGAAGAGACTAGGGCCACCTTTTCATCTTAGGTTCCACTATCTTATTTGTGTTTCAAAATGCTTACCACAAAATAGAACCAAAGCTTGCAGTAAGCTGTGTGGCTATGAGTTTCCATCTGCTTTGGTATTCAGGTCTTTATTCTACACTACCCCCACACTTTAACGATGTCTTTAACGATGCTGCAAAGATGTCTTGTTTTTGTAACCTCAGCTTTTGGTCTAACACTGTGTTGTAATAATTGGGTTCTTAATAATGGCCTATTGAATTTAAATCATGGTAAACTGACATCCAAAGATGACTTATTATCTCTCTATTCTCCAGTCTGCTTAGCCATTCTTCCTGGTTTGTCTGCAAATATTGTAGAACTCCAACTCACTAGGCACCCAAAATTCTTGTAGGATTGCAGGTTCAGCTTCAGCAAGTGCTTTTGAACCCCTCCCAAGGTCGGCTGACTGTGTAGAAGAGCATTAATGAGTAGAGCTTGTTTCTGGTTCCACAGCTCAGTTGAGGAGGGAAGAAGAGGCTGATATATTACTTTTGAAGAATTCCCAAGTTCTGCAAGATAGCAGATTTGTTCCAGAAGGGAGCAGCTCCCGTCAATGCAAAGCCAAAGGGCAAAAAACCATTAGTATTCACTGCATTTGTTGACTGGTGGCGTGTAAATTAGGATTATAGTGTAATCAAAACAAATGATATAGCACTGTAATGAAACAGAAGCCCTGGCTGGCAATTCATCTCCTTTCATTGTACAAAAATGTAAAAAAACTCCCAAAACCTAAAAAAAGCTAAAAAAAAAAAAAAGTGCAACTTGTAGAGTACATACCTGTTTCTAGAATAATGTACATGCCTTGAGATGGTTACATTCTATCTGTGCATATTTATATGTCTTTCCTTATGAAGTTTCAGGAGATTTTCTTCACAAGTAAGAGTTTTTCTGTTCTGATGCAAAACGTCCTTTTTCTGTGAATGGCCAGGCTTTATCTGAAACTCTATAGCTGAAGCCTCTTCAGAAGCAGCAACACATCCTTTGTGCTCTTCAGTTCCAGGTGATTTCCCTGTACTACTCTTTTTAGTGCTAAGCTCTGGAAAATTCTTCTCAAAACTTTCAGTCTGTCCATCTGAAATCAGCAAATCATCATTAGCATTTTTCAAATTATTTGATGGATTATGTTTGTTAGGATTTGGGACATTGATATTATTGTCATTCCCACATAAAAAAGATAAATCCCTACCTTCAGGTGAAGTTTTAACTTCTAATGACTCTGGAGTCACTTCACCTAGTGACTCTGCAAATGTTTCAGAAATAGGGTTAGAAATAGGTTGCTGCTGCTCAACTTGTGCTTCAGGAGAACCATTAGAAATGGATTGCTGCTGCTCAACCCATTCTTCCTCAGGACAGGCTTCAAAAAAGCATTCAATATTTTCTCTCTCATCTGTAAAGTCCAGTGGCACAGGAGTGCTGCTCTTTTCCTCTATATATTTGAATACCTCTCCACAGTCACTATCATGAGAAGAAAGTGAAAGGTAAGAATAGAAGTCCCCTTTTCTTAGCTGGATGGGTCTATGAGAGTGTTCTAACACTTTTTCCTTGATCTGTGCTAATGAAGCTGGAGTAGATGACTCACATTCAGGCTGTGACTTACTTTTCAAAGCTGTTGATGCCATGTCTATTATCTCCTTCACAAAATTGTGTACTGAGCCATCCTCCATGGTTTTTTTATCAAAATCAGCAGATTCACAGTTACAGCACAAATCAAGACCATTGGCTGAGGAAGTGCATTCTGCTTTACTGGATTTCAAGGCAGCACAGCAATCAGCAAATTTTTCAGCAATGCTTATTCTGTGTTGTTGACCACTAGGTAAGGATGCCTGTAAAGCTGTACCTTGCATGCCTACAGAACTAATTTCTGAGGAAGATTCAAGACAAGGCTTTTTAGCAGGAGAGGAAGCAGCAGAGTGATGATCAGGCTGAAGATGACTTTGACATTCTTTTGGAGGGGTTCTGAATCCAGCTGAGGACAGAATAGTCTCTTTACCATCCATATGTGAATCATCTGAACTGTCTGTAAATGCTTCACAGACACAACCTTCATTTTCAGCTTCTCTGACATCAAGTGATGCATGAGTTTTGGGTGTTGCTGCTATTTTAACACCACCTTCCTTTTGACCACCAAGAGTATTTTCAACATTGCCATTCTCCATATCATCCACAAGCTGATCCTTCACAACCTGAGAGATGTCTTTCATTGGGTGACTCTTTGTCCCTTTTTCATGATCACATGGTATATTCTTACTATTGCCATTATTTTCTGACATTTTCTGTACTGAACCATTCAATAGTGTTTCAATGCTTAATGTATCTGTGGCTTTAGATGTCTCGTTACTAACTTCTTTACTGTGCTGAATTTCATCACTGAGGTTACTTTTTCTTTTCTCCCTTGTCAAAGAAAATTTTGGTCTAATCCAGGTTTGGAGTTCATTTTTTATATAATCAAGTCCTGAAATTAAATTGCATTCTTCATAAATATCCTCATCAGTTGCTATACTGGAGTCGTCATCTTCATCTTTGATACCTAGCTCTTCCTCAGTTAAGGTAAGAGTGGAACTTGAAAGCAAATCACTGTCATCTTCATCATCAGTACATGCAGAAGTGCAGGAGACGTTAACAATCATGCTGACATTGACATCGCTCTCATCAGCTACAGACCTATTAAGATGTTTTCTAAATGATGCATTTGAATCTGGTATTTTATTTCTGTGCAGTACAATGTCTTCAGAGCAGAGAGAAAGATCCTCGCTGCTGCTGAGTTCAGTGAGAGAAGCTGCTGAATCTTCATTGATCGAAGATGCAATATCTAGAGACAGCTGTCCAGTAAAAGACATTTTTTGAGAGCTACTTTGGAGTGTTATATCAGAGATGCTGCGCTTTATCTTTTGATCTGAAGGACTCTGGATATTCTCTAAGCGATTCAAGAGATCTAACGTCCTTTTACTGAGCTCTCCAATGGAATCACTGCTTGCACTTATGTCTCCTGAACCATGATGACTAAAAAGATCTTCGTTGCTTTTGTAGGAAGTCAGCCAGCTCTCCAAAGAGGTACTTCGTTGAAGACCATCTCCACTTTTAAAAATACCTGAGCTGAATAAATCCCCTACTACAGACAGAGATTCTAATGAAGAACTACGAGATAAAGCTGAAACCAGTCTTGTATTCTCTGTAACAGTTAATTTTCTTACAGTTTCTGTAGATTTACAGCAATTGGGATCTGATTCTCCACAAATACTTGCCAGAGTGTGGTCATGAATAAACTCATCTGGTTGTGACTCTACAGACTTCTGTTCAGAGTTACCAGGCATTTTATCAAAACAAATGTCATGAAACAAACTACCCTCTGTATGTGTTTTTTCAATTTGTGATTGTTTCATTACCACCGGTAATTTGAATTTGGAGCCTTGAAGATATGAGTAATCATAAAATGTAAACACGTCATGTTTTCCTTGCAATTCTTCTAGAGAAACAGGGTTAGACATGGTAATGCTGTCCAAATCCTCACCATTTTCACTTCCACAACATGCAGAAGGTGCCAACTGGAAATCATCTGAGAGATTAGCATGGTCTTCTTCATCTTGCTTTATTTTTTGATGTATTACATCATTCACTTGACTTTCCACATGCCCAATTTCAGGATTACTCTGAGTGCTTTCAATATCATTTAGCAAAAAAATTTCTGAATTATTTGTAGTTTCTGTATCACATTCACTCACTATCCCACTCTCACTCTCCGAATGCCTGCTTATGTTTCCACTCTGATATATGTAGTTATAAGGTTTTGTCAGTGTGGTCCCCCCTATTAGATCTGGCAGGGATTTGGTAGATGAAAATGATGAGTCTTTACTAAGACTTTTGTTTAAAATGTTAGACTGTGTTACATTGGAGAGTCTGGATGTTTTTTTCAAAAAAGGCATGTGGGTTTTTTCTGATAATTCAATATTATGAAGACTATAGACCTGATAGATGTGAGGATTTGGAGGGGAAGTAATGTTGGAACAATAAAGAGGACTTCCACGATTACTGATACTTTCGTCTTCATTCACATCATTATCATCACATTCTCCTGAAGCAGGTTTCTGGTTTAGGTCATCCTTCTTGAGCTCCTGATCAGGATCACTTAAGTCTTCATGAATACTGATCAGCTTATTACTTATGTCAGTTTCATCCCATTCTAGTGCATCTTCACTTGGACCATTTAGATCCATCAAACTGGGATCAATAACACTCAGAGGCTCCTGTAAAAGAAAAAGTCAAAGATTAAAAATATTTACAGCTGTACTTCAAATGCTTCCACTGTAATCATGCAAGTAAGTTAATAGGAGTAAAGTACATTTTTGGAACAATGATCAGTAGTAGGCTTTTAATGTTGTTATGTTTGTGTGTGCCATTAAAACAATCAATTAAAATTAAACCTATTGCATTTTGCATGACTTCTTAGTCTTCCCACTTTTTTTCTATTTGCTGTCAAAATATAATACAGAGATTTGACTTTTCTTTAACAGACATTAATTGTGCTTAGTCACTCTATATGTAATAAGTTTTAACCATTCTGCAGAATCACATAGGAGCGTGTTAGTAAAAAACATGCAATTATGTTGGATATATGAGAATGCCTCTTAACCAGCTAAAGTTTAAAAGATATAAAGGATTTATTAAAGGATTTTTGAAATGTTTCTAACAAACTTTTGTGTTGTCAGCCTTAAAACACAAGACTTGATGAGTTTTTGTTAAACTTTCTATTTATTCATTACTTATTAAGAAAGGCAGTACTAGTGACCAGTAAGTAAGACTAATGAATGTAAATGTCTTCAGCTGAAAATCAATCAGTCTAATCAAATGCTACAAAAATTTCAAATATTGTGTCCTGATACCTTTCTCTGGTAAATAAATAATTGAGCTAAACTTAATTTGCTTTTTTAAAGACTTTTGTAACTTTCTAGTAATATTTGTTATTATTACTCAGAACATATAGTAACAAGAATTATTCCTTCTAAAAATATGTGGAAGAGGAAGAACACCTTGACAGCTTTGCTCACGCAAATGTGATGTGTCAAGTGGCCAACAGCACCAAATCACCTTAAACTCTTCAAATAAGACTGAAGTGGTCCCTGAGAACAAATAAATTTCACTTTATTTTTCTATTTATTGGGAGGCCTCCATTTTAGAGAAGGCTATGCTTATACCGTCTTATAATAGAACTGTTTACTAATGTGGAATTGTTTAGTTTAAACAATCTGAACAGCTGAACAATGATCACTGTATCCAGAAACACAAGCACTTTTTCCAAAAAAACCCTTTCAACTCTTATCTTTTTCTCTCCTAGTTTTCTTTGAGCAAGTGTTGTTTTTCAAATACAGCATTGATATCATGCCAAACAGCAACAGCAAATAACAAAAAAAACCATAAAGTTACTGAAATAAAAGCAGACAAAATGAAGCTTTAGTCCAACAGAGTGCAGTTGTGCACAGCTTAGTTACTGACTTAGATTCATCAAGACTCGGCCAAGGTTAATTGTGCAGGGAAAGGCACGTATCTCTGACTTCGATTCTCAGCTGGAAACTCTCTTTGAAGTAGGAACTAAAGCTGCTCAGCCCTTTTGTGAGAAATCATGGGATGTTCTCCAAAAGCTCAAAAGTTAGGACACTGATTTTGGTCATGGGACACTTTGCCAGCCTGAGCATAAGAGACATGGACCAGGTTATCATTCTCTCAGAAAAAGCCTTACCTACATGCCATTCCAAAAAGAAACCTGCTTCTCCCGTGTCAATTTGCATAAAACAATTAAATATTAATTCAGTCATAGATAGATGAGGAAAATTTTTTCCTGCAGTGCTGTGTTCAGCACATTTGAACAGCAAGAGGCACAGGTAGATCCAAACATCTGCTGAGTGACTATTTAATTATGGGTATAGGTGGCATTATTTCTCTGCAAGACACAAGGCTATACCATCCCAGTATGTCTAGTAAACCAAAGGCTAAAACAATCAAATGACATCAGGAAGAATTATTTTCTCCAAACTGGGCAGAGTAGCTATCCACCATTCAGCAGGGTGATATGATTATTAATTTATTTGATAAACCAGGGCACCCTCCCTGTAAGATGAATCTGTGTCCTCACACTTCATTGGGCTTAGCTATAATGTAGGTCCCTGAGTACTGCAGCTGTGTTAAGGTATAATAATGGGCAGAAATACAGGTGCCAAAGAATTTTTTCCTCCTTAGCAGGTAGGGAGGCCTTTGGCATTTTGTGAATCTGTCATGTCTAATGTTGAAGGCTAGAGTCTCTTTGTGGATCTACCTACCCCAAAGGTTTTATAGAGCACATTTCTTACAGTCCTTTTTTACCACTGTGAGATATTGGCTAATGTTAAATTCCCAGGAAAACACCCATTTGCTGGAAAACTATGGCTATCAGAGCAGTTCTGTACATTGCGAAGTTCAGAAATCCTTATTTGGATTTGCATTTACTGTGTTTTCATAATGGCTCTTGGTTGGTTCTTAGTTTCCCACTTGCAGCTGACCCTTAACCAACCTGCAAGTAAAATGCAAGAGAATTACAATAATTAAGTTAATTTGAAAACCTGTTAGATTAAAATAAAATCAGATAAAATTACTCATTTTCTCTATGGCATGTTTTATGACTCTGTCGTACTCAGCATTAGGAAGACATTGCTGTAGAAAGTTTCCTAAACTGCACAATTTTACTGTTTTAAGCTTCTGCCAGCTGCAAGAAGAAATTACTGAAGGCAGGAATTCAGCAGCAGGTTCCAAGGATTTTATGTTCCATAGAATCTGATTTTGTTTCTCAAAACAAAACATTTGGTCCTTATTGGTCAGGAAGATAACCTTCCCCCTGTAAATCAGCACTTGGCTGCCGTGTTTGTTCAGCAAGGTTGATGGACTAAAACAATAAAACATTTAGAGTTGTGACCTCAGCCCATTCATCTTCACTGAGTGCTCCCCACTTCAAAGCCTACTTTTTTGTTCTTCAAGTGCACATGCTTTTCTGATGCCTGGTATACACTCAGTTTTGCAGGCAAAGCTATGATGGTAAGGGATTTTATTTTATTTATTTATTTTACTTTCCTTCCGATTGTTAGTAATGCTTGAAAAGACTACCATGTAGATATGGTCATTTTACCAACATAGCTTTCTCTGTCCAAGGAACTGACTGAATTGATATTAGTGAATTACCACTGTTGTTAAAAGCATCATATCCCTTGAAGTAAAGCTTTAGTGGTTATCAGCTCCATTGGCAGCCCTTCCCAAGTTCTAACTGAAGCAAATCACCTGGCTTAAGTCACAAACATTATGTATTTGGCATTTTTAATAGGGGTATATATTTTTGCCTTCTTTTTTTACAAAATTTAGTGAACTGCTCAAATAAGAAAGAGGCTTTAGACTTTGAGGCAGTTGTTGGAGAGCGTACACCACTGTCTCTTGAATAAATCTCTGGAGTGAAAAATGGAAGGTGGTCTCACTCCAGCCTGTGTTTGCACTGACAGTAATAGCAATGTAAAAAGCAGGACTCTTTAAGGATATTTTTATCAGATGTCTCTTTTCAGGCTGGTCAGTGGAGAGGTAGGGTGCTGAATAATTAGGGTTCTTACGATAGTAATAGATTATTAGGTCTCGCCAATAGAGTGTTTAAAATTTGCCAAACTGATCCTTTACTTGGTGTTATACAGAGGAGGGCACAACATCATAAGTATTGAATGGTATCAGAGATGGATTCTGTTTACTCACTTTACTGGGAAAAAATGATGTTGTTTCTTCTACTTTGTTTTTCATTTGAAAGAACTGTATAGTATTGCACAATGTATCTTTTACACAAAGCAAATAAATCTACTGTCATTTCCAATGGGGAAAACTTTACTTTTTAAAGAGCTGAATCATGTTTTGTATTCTGTTTCACTTAATTAAGAATGTGGCTTTCCTACAGAGCTTGCACTTGCACTCCAAATGATGTTGCCTGGTTCAAGGTATTTGAGCAACCCGGCCTGGTGAAAGATGTCCCTGTCCATGGCAGGGGAGTTGGAACAAGGTGATGGTTAAGATCCCTTTCAACCCAGGCCATTCCATCATTCTATGATCCCTTCTTGAATTGCAAATATCCAACAAGAAAGGGGTCTGTCACAGATAGAAATGCTGATCTCCACATGTAAGACAGACTATATTTAAAGAGAATCTTTGAGTGTGCTACAGAGCTTCAGATTTCAATAGGGTGAGCTCTGTATGCTTACTCTTAAGTCCTGGCCTTGCTGAAGTCTGTGACGAAGTATGTTGCAAAGGTACCACACTGTCTGGCAAAAACTCATTGGATACCAGCCAGTGTAACTGATTGTACTGATGCCTTAAGCCCATAATGATTTTTTTTATTTTTCTACCTTATAAGTTTTATAGGTAATAGAAGTAGATTTTAGAAACCCTTTCTCCCTCCTCCCTGTAGCACCCCTTAGTTTATACATTCCTTAATCCTCTCACCCCATCCCATACTCCCCATATCAACCCTACCCCGTATCCAGTAGAAGATGTTTAGTCTCTTAGTCAAGGCAAGCCTGTCTTGTTTGGGGAACGCTTATATCTTGGCCTAAACCACAGGACAGAGTCAAAGAACTGGGTGACACTGCTCTTTGTACCCCGAAGATGAGGAAGAATGATGAAGAGGGGGTCCCAAAAAGCCCTCTGACCCAATTCCAGAAGGCGGGCCAGGGGGTAGACCAGGCCAAAAGTTATAGGGTGGACACACTTGGGATTGGCCAGATATTGTTATAAATGTAACATCTCGGGCACAGCCCGGGGCGCGCCGTGTAACATCTATTGCCTTGGCATAATTAAACCCTTTCTTATCTCACCCCAGCTTACGGCTCCTGAATTTTTCTTAGCACCAGCAGAGCAGGCATCATACTAAATTTCCCAGAATTTAGAAACTTGTTTTTAATATGTGCAACAGTGTGTGAGTATAAATGTATATATAATTTTTCTACAAAATGGTTAGTTTTAAAGTAGGTCAGAGTCGCTCTATCTTATAAAGTCATCAAATAACACTACATCTAGAGAAGATCTTGATGGTCACATGGTTCACAGTAAGAAAAGGCAAATAGTTTTGACCAAGAAAGCAAAAAAAAACCCCAACCCAACAGTGTAATAAAAACCAAAAGATGCACAATATTAGGCAGATTCCTATTTTTTAAATATTACCACTAGACAAACACTAGGAAGCATTTACTGCAAA